AATTGGTTTATAGGTTGGCTCTTGTTAAAGTTGGCTTTGAAAAGGAATGGCTTACTCTTAAATCTAATAAGAAGAAAGTTAAGGGCATAAGGGATCTGAGATATGTCAACCCTGAAGCTGCATTAGTTCAAAGTTGTGGGGTTTAAAAAAGGAAAGAAAAACAGTTGGTATTCTTCTCTAGGCTTACTAGGGGAGAAAATTATCATTTGATGTTTAAGCTTCTGGCTTGGAATATTAGAGGTATTGTAGATGTCAATGCTTATAATAGACTTTGAAATATTATCAGAACTCATAATTTACTTTTCTTTAGTATTGAGCCTTTGGTTTCTAATCATAACAATGACAGATATATGAAAAGTTTCATAAGGTTTAATTCTTTTTCTAATGTGAACAAAAAGATTTGGATTTTATGGAGTAATGCTATTAATGTGAATGTTACTATTAATCATTCCTATTTCATAAATTTGAAGATTAGTAATGATATTTTCTTGCTACCATTTCTTATGTTGGTAGTACAATAAATGCTCGGTTGGATTTTTGAAGTAATCTTATTACTTTAAAAGCTTTTTGTACAGAGCCTTGGATTGTTGGTGGTGATTTTAATGTTATCCTTTCTATGGATGAGAAAAAAGGTGGTAGGTATCCTAATCATAACTTAACTGTTGAATTTGTTGATGTGTTGTTGGAGGCAGGGCTCTTTGATCTTGGTTTTTCTGGTAATCCTTTTACTTGGTATCGTAGAAAGGTCTTCAAAAGGTTGGGCAGAAATGTTGCTAATAATCTTTGGGTGGATTTGTTTCCTGCTACTTCTGTTACTCATTTACCTATTATTTATTCAGATCATGCTCCTACTCTGCTTTGTGTGAAGGTGTTTAATAAGCTTATGGTTTATCAGTTTAAGTTCTTTAACATGCGGACTTTGATATCTCTTTTTTTCAGTTTAGAGCAAAATTTGGGTTATTGATTGTTCTATTAATGCACGTAGAAGACTTTGGGCTCTACGTAAGTCCTTGGCTGTTAAACTTAAAAGGTAGAATTGAGAAATTTTTGGAAATTTGCACACTTTGGTTCAGTTAGCTGAGGATAATATGACAAAACTTGATGAGGATTATAATAATGATTTGATTGATCATCACTCTTTGTCGATTGGTCAAAAGATGTTGACTCATGCAATTAATATGGAGGAGGCTTTCTACAAACAAAAAGCAGTTGGTCATCTGTTTGTTGATGGTGATAGAAATACTTCCTACTACCATGCTTTCATCAAAAGGAGAAGAATAAGTAATACTATTAATAGAATTAAACAAGATAATGGTAATATATTACATTTTATTGATCTAATTGAGGCTGATGAGATTGATTATTTTACTAATCTGCTCAACTGTGCAGTAGGGTGTTGGATAAGATTAATGTGGATTTTTTTGCTGATGATTGTACTTGTGCAGGGAATATTGACCTTGCTGGCATTTCTAGTAGTATTGAGATCAAGAATGCTCTTAGCACTATGAACATCAATAAAACAGCTGGTCCTGTTGGATATACTGCTGCCTTTTATAAGGTTTGTTGGGATGTGGTGAATAAGGGTGTTATTTTGGTTGTGAAAGATGTTCTCAAAGGTATTGATTTTCCTAAAACTTTAAATCTTCAAAGTTGGTATTAATTCCTAAGATCATGAAGGTATGCATTGTGATGCTTACATGCCTATAAGTCATAATACTATTTTCTCTAAAATTGTTTCTAAAATTGGGGTGACTAGATTTCAGCCTTATCTTAATACTCTGATTTCCAAACAACAATTTGCTTTTGTTAAAGGCAGATATATTGGGGAAAATGCTTTGATTGCTTAAGAATTAGTTCTTGATTTGGATAAAAAAGGAAGAAATGACAACATTATTTTCAAAATGGATATTAAAAGGCTTATGATACTTTAAGGTGGGAATTCATGTTGGATGTCTTCAAAGCTAAAGGCATCAATCAAGCTTCTTGCCTCATATTATGATTTATGAGAATCTTGAGAATAGTTACTACTCTATTTGATCAATGGCAATAAATGTTGATTCTTCAAATCCTCTAGAGGGATTAGGCAAGGAGATCCACTTTTTCTTATTATTTTTATTATGATTTTTTGATTATTTTTTAAGATCTCTTAATAGGCTCTTTAATAAGTATCCTAGCATGTATTATGCTGACAAAGGTAACTTTGGGATTTGTCATCTTACTTTTGTTGATGATCTTGTTATTTTCTCCAATGCCAACAAAAGTTCTATTAAAAGAATTCCAAGAAGTGTCAGGTTTGAGGTTCAGTTCAAGTAAGTGCAGTTTTTACTATTCTAGCATGGTTTTTAAGAAGAAGACGAATTGTATTCAAGATTATGCTAGTTGTTCTAAAGGTGATCTTTCCATCAATTATTGGGTTTTAAACTAGATAAAGGTAGGAGATGAAATCATCTTTCAGATAGCCTTATTGGCAAAATTAGTAAGAGAATCATGTCTTGGAATAGGGTTTTTTTATCCTTTGGTGGCAAAGTTACCTTATTGAAGAGTGTACTTACTTTTATACCTCTTTATATTTTACTTTTCATGAAAATCCCTTCTAATCAATGTAAGAGATTGGGGAATATTTTCAATAGGCTCCTTTGGCTGGTAAAGAGCATATAATTAATTGGAAGAGATGGTGTAAAATGGGTAAACCAACTAATTCTGGTGGTTTGCAATTCAGAAGGTCAAATTGACAAGTCTATTTCGAAAACTTTTGCTATTTCTTTTCATCATGCTAATGGGATTGATTTGCAATGAGCTTGGAATTATTTTGTGAAGCCTTCTCAATCTTTTTTCTTTTGGATGTTACTTCATAATATTATTCCAACTAATGACATTCTAAAATTTAAAATGATTAAGATTACTTTCTTGGTGCCTTTTGTGTAAAAAACATGCTGAAGAAGTGGGTCATCTTTTTATTAATTGCTCCTTTGCTAAGGATGCTTGGAAAAAAAGTTTTCTTGCTTTTTAATAAAAGGATGAAGGCTGGTCTTGTGTAGTTTAATGCCAGTTTTATTGAATGTTGGAAGAAGTATGGAGGGCAGCTCTTTGCATCTATTCTGATATTGGTGTTTTGGTTCTTATGGTTAATGAGAAATAAAAGTAAGCATCAAGATAATGTGGTTTCTAGTTCTTGTTGTTTCAATTATATAAGAAACTTTGTCTTTAAAATGCTTTTGTATGGTAGATTAAAAAAGTTTGTTAATATGCATTTATTGAAGTAGTTTAACAAGGTTAAACTTCTTATTCCTGAGAAACTTAAATCGAGATATAAATTAGTTTTTTTGGATAAAACCTGAGTATGGTTGTTTGAAATTCAATGTTGATGGGAGTTGGACTAGTAAACTAGCTAGCATTGGAGGGATTTGTAGGAATTGGAAGGGTAAATGTTTTGTTTGGTTCTCAACTCCTATTATTTTTGTTTCACCTATAGCTGCTGAGGCGAAAGCTGTTATTAAAGGTTTAATCATCGCTATCAAGTGCGGTTGGGACAGGATTATAGTGGAAATAGATTCTTTGTTATTATGAAATTTTTGTAGATTGCAGGTGGATTAGTCATGGAATCTGATTTTTTAAATGAAGAAAATTTTTGCTCTTCATGCTTATGTGCAGGTTTTTTGGTCTTATACTCATCGAGAAGGAAATAATGCTACAAATTGGGCTGCTAGAAAGAATTTTGTGTCTCAGTTGATTATTGTTACTAATATGGTTTCTTTAGAGCTCTCTCGTTTACTTCATGGGGATTGTTTGGATATCCATTTTATTCAGGTTAATCATAGTTTGTAAGTGTTTTGTGTGAGTTGTAATTGCTGATGATTCTTATGTGATATTTTCTTTCTTGAGTGAGTTGTATTTTCTGGTTTGTGTGGGGTTGTTGATCATACCTTTGTAACTTTTTTTTTTAGAAATAAAATTTCTTATGAGATTTATTAAGAAAAAAAGAAAAAGACATTAAAATAAGAGTTGTGTGTATAGCATATTAGTTAAGATAACACTATTCGAATATGAGACGGATTAATGAAGTCACTTAGACTCATCAATTAACCCATTGAATTAATTTTTTCAAGCAAATTAGGTGAATTTTCTAACAAGTTGAGTAAGCCAATATTTGGTGAGATGTATAACTAATCAGTCGAATTTGGTTGAGTGAGTTTGTACAACTATTTTTCCAAACCAATTGACTAAGCTATTTGGACAGGTTGATGGAATTAGGCCGCCTCATGTGCTTTTCCTTTGTATACATGAATGATTCTGATCTGATAACGTGTCTAATATTGTCTCATAATTTGAACTTGATCACAAGACTTTTATGACTATAATTATAAGCATTAGATAAATAAGCAATGAAATAACAAATTTTGGATGATATATAAATCTAATTGAATGGTTCTATGAGAAAGTGATGCTTTTATTTATTTATTTATTTATTTATTTATTTATTTATTTATTTATTTTGTGAAGAGTAATGCAAGGCAAAGCTTGTGATAAGATATTTATTTTTAAAAAATAGATGACACATTATTACTTTTTTATGTCATGTAAACGCTCAAATCAACACTTTGAAATTATAGATTTTATTTTCAGCTAATATGTTTATTTTTGGAGCAAAAAAAAAAAATACATTATTACTTTTAAATTTTACTTATACCAGTTTCTATTTAATTTAATTTAATTTAATTTTGATAAGACCTTTAAAAAGAAAAATAATAATAAAATATTAAATTTTTTTAGGCTAATATAACAATTATTTTAATAAATACTTATATATTAAACTTGTTTTTAAATAAATCGAATTCCGAATTCCCCCACGCCCATACGCTATCGGATACAGTTATTTGATGGCTACATAAACAGCCACAGTCCAGCCTGAAGAGAGCTCATGTGGGTCCCACACGCAAATACCAGCCATGCGTCCACAAACCCCATTATTTCCCCTAATGAAAATACCCACGCACCCGGGTTCACGAATCTTCCTGTTCCCCCCGTCTCCTCTCCCCATTTATAACCACTTCCTTCTTCGCCCCAACCAAACCCTAACCCTCAAATAACAATCTCTCTCTCTCTCTCTCTCTCAACAAGCTCCTCCATGGGCAACTACCTCTCCTGCTCCCTCCCCTCCCCAGTCGCCGGATTCCAATCAGGTCCCAAAGTCATCCTTCCATCCGGCGACATCCACCATCTCGGCGCCGCCTCAGCCACCGCTGCAGAGCTCATGCTCGAACACCCAGGATTTTTCCTGGTCCACTCTAGCGCCATTCTGATAAATCGCCGCCTATTTGCCCTCTCGGCCGATGAAGAACTCGAACTCGGCGTGGTCTATGTTATGTTTCCAATGGACCGCGTTGGCTCGGCCGCCTCCGCGGGGGATATGGGCCGGCTACTTCTCGCAGCAGGCAAGCAGGCCCTTACGCCGGCGGTGGAATCGGCCCGTCCCGCTTTATCGACGGAGATGGCGGCGGAGAACCGGCTGAAGCTGGACGAGGTGGATGATGGTTTGTTTGCGGAGTTTAGGTATAAGAAGAGCTTGTGCCGGTCGAGACGGCCGGTCTTGGAGACCATAACCGAGGAAGCCGTTTTCTAACTTTTCCTTTTTCTTAGAAAAATAGTTTGGTGGTAGTGGGATTGGAATCTTCTTTTGTTAGCACTGGAATTGCAAGACAGTCGTTCAGATTTTCATGGACGGCTGAGATCTATGGAATCGTATCTTGCGGTTGGTGTTAACTATTTGGATCTTAACCTCATATCGCAAAATATTAGGTAGATTTGATGATATTGTGCTAGTATTATGGTGATATATGGATTCTGGAAGTAATATCCTCTCTTGATAGAGGAGGGAGGCCAAATGGGTGTTAGGTTTGGGACTTGATTGTATTGTAACTCTAATATTTGTTAATATATACAATCAATTTCATACAAGGAGGGCTCAGAGTATCACATGATTTATAAATGTGAATCGCAAGGAGAATAGGAAAGAAATTTAGATAAACTCTCCGGGGTTTTTTTGTAGTTTTGAAGAAAACTAGCACCAAATTGGAAGGTGGTTTTTGAATTCTATGTGGCTTGTATTGTAAAAGTACATGTGGGACTCAAATAATGTGCAATGATTCAAGTACATATTCGGACAACAAAACTTATAGTGCTAATCGTTGATTTGTTTGTTGCTTGAAAGTGATCACCAGAATATAGATGGATGGGAATAATATTTGAATACGTAATTGATTTTTTTCGAGTTTTGAGATTAAGGGTCCGTTTGGGGCAGCTTGTAAGTGCGGGCGGCGTTTTGTTTTTTAAAAGTCCCGCCGTACCGTTTGGTTCGCGCGTTTCGCCAGCTTATCCAAAATTGCGTTTGAGTTTTTACACTAAACGGAGTCCGCGGGTCGACCCCTGCGAGCGTAGTCCGCGGTTCGACCCCTGGCCCGCGGGCCGCGTTTCAGGATAAGGATAAGCAGCTTACCCTGAAACGCACAAGCTGCCCCAAACAGACCCTAAATTGTTATAATTATGCATATAAATAGATAATCGTAACTACTCGATCAATAGAGATTGCTTGCCTCAGTTGTTTGTATTGATAAGGTATAATCTTCAGGTTTTCGCTTGTGAAATAAAATTTTGTAAACGAGTCTTTATTTCCTACAGCATGCATCCTATGTGACCATTCATGGAGTAGGAAATCAATTACAAGATCATGATGTCTCATCATGGCATCATGGGATGCACATTCTCATACCTAGTGAATTGTCATAATTGTTAATATAAGGGTGATGGGGGAAAACTTTATTGAAGAGGCAACGACGCTTAAAGCCCAAATGATGTTGAGGATGTGATGATGCCGAAATTGTGTTTTAATCTTATCGGTTTGACCAAGCAATGATGATAATCAAGTTATTGTATAAGATCTTGCAAATTGCACTCTTGATAATTTTTGACCTGACACTTCTCATGAGATCATCGCAGTTGTTTGAATTAAGAAGTTCCCTACGAGCGTTGCTAAAGTCAAGATTGGGAGTGAATATATTGAGTGAGATAAGTGAATTAATTATAGTCAAAATGCGTTTACAATTAGGTTAATTTTTCATTTTTATTATACTTTTTTTTTTACAGAAAAGTATACAAGTGAAATATTTAAAGGAGAAGAGCATATTGTGCTACTCACCCAAGGTCGCATCATTAGTTGTCAAACTCCGCAACACTGAAACTAAAGTTTCGCAACACCAATAAAAATGGCATCATGATGCTAGGTATATAGTGTCACATCACTAATGATGATCAATTTTGAGGAGCAACCTGCAAACGTGGTTGCAACGCGAACATTTAGGTGCTTCAACAGTTGTGTCAGTGCGTCGATATTTATTAAATATGGGAAGAAAATAGAGAATTTCGCATAATGTCATTGGAAATTAGGCACCACAATGCATTGTTAATAGCATCATAGTGTCAAACCCGAGGAATCAAGGCTTAAAGACAGAAAGCATAGCATCACAATGCTATTTGTTAGCACCATGGTACGATGGCCATAATAAAACAATTTGAATTCAATTTTGGAGTGGGAGGGTTAAGTGGTTTTCAAGAGTAATTATGGTTGTGAGCATATGTATTATAATGTATGTGAATATATTAGTTTGTCTAAAGTGAGGAGTAGAGGATAGATTAGAGTGTGAATGTGTTGAGTGAGAGTGTACTTGTATTATAGAGAGCAATGAGAAATTCGAAGGACGAGAAGTTGGGAAAGCCAGAGAGGCAACAATACTTCATATATCCTTGTTGTTTTTTTTTCTAATTTTCCTTCTACTTTAATATACATTGAATTAATGAGTGCTTGATGTCTGGTTAGCTTAAAATGAGTTTGAACTAAGTGTATTGGTACTTTGGCTTTGTAGTTTATTACACTTAAATTTCTTCAAACATCAAGTTTTGTGTAAATTTTTAAAAAAATTTTAATTTGCTTCAACTTGGTTAAGTAGGTGTAGTAGACATGCATTTATTTGAAATCTAATATGACATCGACATAGTGGAGGAGTCTTAAGTGAACATAAGGAGTGAATTAACAATCATTTGAGTAATGTAACCATTTGAACTTCTTGCAATATTAAAAGAAGTGTGAAAAATGCAATCATTTTTGGATAGTTCATATAGGCATATAATAAACTAAAGATAGATTAGGTTTTCTAAGTTTTTGACGGAGATTATAAAATAAAATTATTCTTTATTGACCAAGAAAAATAGAATAACTCAAGTTGGCGTGGACCTATAAAAGAAATTGACCTACTCTTTGAGACTATAACAGTATCCTAGAATGAAGTAGCCCATGCTATGAACCAAGATACTCAAAACTACTTTATAGAGGAAAATACTACTTTAAGATTATTATGGAGATAAAAAAAAACTCCTATTATTCAATTGGTTAATAGTTTTAGACTATTAATGTACTCGTGATGATGGAAAGTCATGGGCATCTTGACCAGGTGCATTACTCTCAAATTTATGTTACTCCAACTCTATCTAAAAATTCCTCTACCATTTCCTACCCTTGGACAAGGATGTCTCTAAATCTAATATTTCCAAAATCAAACTCAAACTCAACCTTAACTTAATCAACCTCAACTTGACTCTAACCAACCCAATCCTTTCAAATCAAACTACGACCTAATTCAAATCAATTTCAATCAAAATTTCTTCCCATCTAATTCAAAAATCAATTCCAAAGACATTCAAATCAAATCAAATTGAATTCATCTCCAAATTTTGTTTCTCAAACCCGAATTCAAGCTTTGTACCATCATTCTAATTATCAACTGTTGGGATTCACATAAACATTTTTAAAGCTCAAGTGCTGGCATCCTTTGTCCAAAACTACCCCTCTTATCTAAGTCCTTAAACTTTAATGAATAAGAGAGACATAAGGCATAACTTCAATCAAGAGTGTTTTCAGGAGTAATTCTTGAGATATAATTAATTATGAGAGAGCCCCTTCAACGAATACCAGATTAAAATAAACCTTATTTTACACCATAAGATAAGAGAAAGATCACGGTTCCACTGATCTATAAATCACAATGATTTTCCTCATATGAATGATTAGATTCATTCTAAGATATTATTTCCATCATTTGGGATAGTATATTATTCTTTAAATGTCGTATCTAATCATTTATATGAAAGTCTTTCGAGGTCTATAATGGTCCACAACCAATAAAAAACCCACCAACCATATCTCAAGATTCGGGCCAGATATTGAAAATTTGTTAAAACTGTAACATTTACAAGCATTGAATCATGTTTATTTATGAAATTTAGATGAAACTATCAATCGAGCTTCTAAACAAACATGTTCATGAGTTTTAAGTGATTTATTCATAAACATAAATAAATCAAATAATAAGTTATTAAAGATTGTTCTTTAAACAATCAAATATTAATAAAAGTGTTCAAATTTGTTCAATTCGTTAATCAAATGAACTTAAATGAGTTTTTATCGAGATGAGCTATGAGTAGCTTATCAACGCTTGGTTCAACCACATCACTATGCAATCTATATGAAAGTAACTTAAAACGAAGAAATTTCAAATATATTGAAAATGAAATATATAGTGAATTTCATATGCATTAAAATTTTGCATTGCATTTAATTTTCTCTTGGACAAATACTTTAACTTTTAAAATGACTATAAAAACATGCAATGCACTCTTTTTGTTGCAGGCCAAATAGCCCCTAAAATAATACTTGCATGTTTGTTGGAATGGGCTAATTTTGTTGACCCAATTTAATTTAATTTTCAAGTCATTGTAACCACTCTCAAAGCTTGCATCATAAATTTTATTTATGTTATGGCCGTTGCAACATAATCTTCATCACAATTATCATTTCATCAAGACATATTTTATCAATATTAGTGCAAAAATCTTCACTATATATATATATTATATATTAATGTAATAGCCATCATCAGAACCTAGCAAAATTGACACTTATCACTCAATTCCCAAGTATTTACCTTCATATCACCAAAATACATACACATCACCTTAGTTATGCATTAAAATATGTACTTCAATTTTTAAAAATTAAAATTGTTATATTTTTTATGTTACATGGAATATTTGGACCGTAAAAATATAAAAAAAAATAAAATTGATCTCATACATATGTAAATTCATGGGTTTTGAATGGCTTGAATGGCTTGCACTTAAATACCCCCTGACTAAATATTTTGAGATCAGTGTTAGGGTATGTTTAGGGCATTTGTATCTTATCTAGCTTGTTTAGATAAACTGTTTATCCTGATAAGCTGGTGATAAACAACTGATTCAGATAAGTTGCCTGACTGTTTGGTTTGTGCGTTTGAAAAACAGCTAACTCTGGATAAATGATCATTTTGCCTCTATTTTGGATAAACTGTTTAAACAAACTAGGATACACGCATTACATAACTTGAAATAAGTGACTATTTCTAAATAGAATATGCATAAATATATTTATACATAAACATATAAACTCGCATATGCATACTTATGTTGAGATTTTAAGCAATGATTGATGATGGATTTAATAGAGATAATTTTTTTTTATACATTTTTATTCCTATATATGTTGCATTAATCTGAGAAAACATTCGCAAAGTTCCTCAAAGAGATGGTTGTGTCTGGATCACAAGAAGGAGAGAAAAATTCAACATGTACCTAAACTATGGTTTGCACATAGAAAAATCACAGGAACTGAGCAACACCTTCTTCTCTGTTCACGCACCAACCTTTCTTCTCTCTCGCGATTGCGATTCTCGAACATCTTCGAAACTCAACATTTCTCCTTTGCTCTGTATGCTGAAATAGGAACCACAATAAACCATGCCCCATCTTCTCACCAATCGCGCGATATCTTGACACGATAAAGTCGTGATTAAGCTCAGGCATGAAATACCTTGTGTTGCTTCGCCCGTTCTTCGAGCGACGTCCGAGAGGAGGGGAGGAGATGGTGAGTGGCTCAGATCCTTCCGGGAGGAAGACGAATGAGAGAGTCGAGTGTTAGGACAGAGAGAGATAAAGACCTTTAACATAAATCGTTCGAACAAAAAAGCGAACTATATTTTAAAAACACCTCAAAAACCCCTGTTCAAACAGCCCGTGGCGTTTTTAATCTTTGAATTCCGCACCACATTTGGCGGGTCGCTGCACGTAAGTGAGTTCAAAACCGCGTGCCAATATCCATTGCCCTTTTCCGTCGCCCACTCCCGCCGCCATTCTGCCGTTTATTCATTACAGCACCACTCTGCTCCTCCAAACGCAGATGGAGATTTCGGAGCCGGAAGTAATACGGGACAAATCGCTGATGCGATCCTGGTCACGCTCCCGCCGCTCCAATGGCCAAACCCTAGCTCTCGTCCCCACTATGGGGTTCCTTCACGAAGGACACCTTTCTCTTATCCGCACCGCCAAATCCCTGGCTGATCTCACCGTCGTCTCTATCTACATAAACCCCGGTCAGTTCGCCCCATCCGAGGATCTCTCCACCTACCCGTCCGATCTTGCTGGCGATCTCCGGAAGCTTTCCGACGCCGGTGTCAGTGCCGTCTTTTGCCCTTCTGAACTGTACATTTCGGCTCCAGGTAATGACTTTGGCGGGCATCTGGGAGCTGTTAATGGCGAGAGGGTCGGGGCTTCTTGTCTCGAGGATGGGGGCAGTGGGCACGAGACTTGGATTACGGTGGAGAGGCTGGAGAAAGGGATGTGCGGGACAAGCCGACCGGTGTTTTTTAGAGGGGTTGCGACGGTGGTGGCGAAATTGTTCAATATAGTGGAGCCGGATGTGGCGGTCTTTGGGAAGAAGGATTATCAACAGTGGCAAATTATTTGTCGGATGGTACGTTTGAAATTATAGCGATATTCTGTTTTTTTTTTTTCACTGGGTGATACTTTTTAGAGTTTTGAATGAAAGCGCAGTTTGAATTGCAGTGAATTATATTCCGAATGTAGAAATATTTATATTCACCGTCTAGTTTGTGCCATACAAAGGCTTGTTAGTCATAAAATTCTATGTTTTTGGACATAAAACATTTGTTAGTGCTATTGGAATCCAACAGCAAGAAGATTGAAGAATGACGAAGAGAGATCCTCTATAAGGAAGTTATGAGACCCACTGAGACAGTCAAGCCGGGCTGGCTAAGCCAAAAGTTAACCCGAGGGCAATTGATCACTGTCGACTGTCCCATCAGGGGATTCATTAGAAGGATGTCCGAATCTTTAATATTCGACTCATAATAAGAGATGCCAATTTGATATAAAAATTTAGCACCCAACACATGAGTCGACCCGAAGCAAAAGTCAACGTCACCAGTATCTTTATATGGAATTATCTCACACAGAAGTCAATTATTTTGCTAAAAATGGATCTTTCTGAGAATGTTGATTTGACCAGAGCTGATCGGGCAAAGTTGATGGAGCCAGGCCGACCGAGCAAAATGAATCGAGACAAAAGGCAACTAGAGGATAATTAATCATTTGCAAGTTGTTGCGAGCCCCATTCAATGATGGGTAAAAATGTCATTTTATTTTTCAAGATAGATCCTCTATAGGTAGGGAAACATTTTTATATTCACCGTCTAGTTTGTGACAAACAAAAGCTTGTTTGTCATAAACTTCAATGTTTTCGTACATAAAATATTTGTTAGTGCTTATTTCATAGGAATCCAACAGCCAGAAGATTGAAGAATGATGAAGAGATCCTCTACAAGGAAGTTATGAGACCCACCGAGACAGTCAAGCCAGGTTGACTCAGCCAAATGGTGACCCGAGGGCGACTGATCACTATCCCTGACCCATCATAGGATTCATCAGAAGGATGTTTGAATCTTTAATATTCAACTCATAATAAGAGATGTCAATTTAATATAAAAATTTACCTGGCACATGAGTCGAGCCGAAGCAAAAGTTAACATCACCAGTATCCTTATATGGAATCGCCTCACACAGAGGTCAATTATTATGCCAAAAATGGATCTTTCTGGGAATGTCCCTTTGAGCATAGCCGATCGAGCAAAGTCAATGGAGCCAAGCCGACCGAGCAAAATGAATCGAGACAAAAGGCGACTAAGGTATAATTAATCATTTGCAAGTTATTGCGAGCCCCATTCAGTAAAGGGTAGAAATGTCATTTTATTTGTTAAGATTGATCCTATATAAGTTGGGAAACATTTATTATAAAAGGGCTGTAGCTTTTGTTACTGTTCATTGGGCATTGTAGACCCATAATGGAATCCGCCTCTCTCTTTCTCTCTCTCCATTTGTCTTTTTACTCTTCTCACGTGCTCAGTTCCTTGGATCCGACCAACAAATATTTTCAAATTCAACATTCTAAAATGTGCGGTGAGCATGAATCATACCACAAACAAGAGGAGCAATACATGAAGAAGAATCCCTAATAGAGGCTGACAATTCAACTGACCGGCTTGACGAGGTGGACCCGATGAAATCAAAGCTGGTTCAATTCAAGTTAAATTAAGCCTGAATTAATTCGTTAAGCTGTCTTTGGAAGCTTTCGAGGTTTAATTGAAAGTCAAATGAACTCTAAATCTGATAAGTTTATAGTCAAATCAAATATCTTAATAATATGAATCCAACAAGCCTAAAATAGCTCAATTTTGACATCATTAGGACACTCAAATGTTCACAGAACACTAACTAACAAGGGAACCTTTCTGTGTGGTTCGATGGGGTGGTCTGAAATCCTTCTTTATTTGTAGAGAGACCTTTCCCTTACTCTATAAATACAACCCTACACCCTTCTTGAAAGAAAACTAAACCTTGAGCTAGAGAAAGCTCAAAACATGGAAAGAGAGTCAAGCTCCAGTGTTCTACATCGAAAGTCTATTGAATGCCACGTGTTACTGCAACCGCAAACCACCGTTTGTCGGCTGTCTTATACCATCGTCTGTCGCTCCACTCATCGCAAAAAAGCCCATTGCAGAATCATGACATGCGTTGCAGAATCCTGTTGTATGTTGCGGTGTAACAAAACACTCTACGGAGCAATGCAACGATGCATCCCAAAGAGGGTGTAATAACATGTCTAAGGCATGATGTAACAACGCATTCCAAATGGGGTGCAACAATGCGTACCTTGGATACGATGCAACGATGCCTATTGAAGACAATGTAACAACACACTCCGCGATAGTTGTTTACAACCGTCGTACTCAAGATACAATGTACTTCTCTAGGCTTCTGAAGCTCTCTTCTTCCAACCCATTATTATGATCTACTTGGTCAACTACGACCTGCGTGGTTCACAACTCATATAACTCCCAACTCTGGTCTTTGCGATCTATAGACATTGTTACATGTAACTTGAGTGTGTGTTGGATTTTTGTGTAATGTTAAGATGCGAAATTTATTACTTCTCACCGCGAATCTTTCGACACATAAATCTTATTTCTTGAGACTGGGAATATCTGTAAAGAAGTGACTTATCCAAAGCATTTCAAAATCAAAGCGCCCAGTAATTGATGATCGAGGGAAAATTTTTCTAAAGGTGGACACATCTTGCTGTAACAAGATGTGTCAAGGAGAACGAAGTTGAAGCACCCCATAGAGAAGTACATTATGACGAGCGTGGAAGTCATTCCGGAGGTAAAACATTTGCCCATAGAATTCAACGACAATGTTGTTTTTGGCCAATGCTACAAAAAGACGAGGAATTCACAAGAAGATGCAAGCAATACTAGAAATTCGCGCAAATGCAACATCAACCGTCTCATAAACTACAGTCGATTGTCAGTCAATGATCCTTCGTTTTTTAGGGACTCGATATCCTTAGATCCTTCTCTCTGTCGAAAGGGCAACAAAATTCTTGCTCGTCGTGGTAAACTACTCCAAATGGATTGAAGCAAAAACTCTTGCTTTGATCATAACTGAGGTCGTTCGAAACTCTTTCCAGACGAATCTGATCCGCCATTATGGCCTACCACTCGCAATCATCACTGATAGTGGAACACAATTTGTCAATTAAGGAGAAAGAAATCTGCCATAATTAGAGGATTAACTAAAATTTGCATTTGTCCATCTACTGCAGAAGAACAGACAAGTCGAAGTGGCGAACACAATCATATTGAACTTACTGAGAAAGAAGGACAAGGGAACAAAAGGAAATGGGGTTGAGCTCCTACCATCAATCTTATGGGCGATTTTGCAACCTCTTCTTCTACGATTGAGCAGACTCCATTCATGTTGTCACACGGAAGCCGTGTTGCCGGTTAAATATAACCTTCACAGACAGAAAGTGGTCACTGCCTCAACATACGACGAAGCAAACATAATCAAATGGCAAGAAGAAATAGGGATGAAACTCACTCTCTACTTGGTAGAAGTAAAATTTGTTGACTTGACTCTCTGGCAGGAGGTGAAAAAGACAACTCAATATTAATAAGAAACATGTTAGGAAAAAGACCACCAACAAAGGCCTCATATTAAAGAAAACCGACTCAACGCATGTGGGGAAGTGGTGGGAAAACTCGATTAGATACGGACCGGGTCATTCATCATCAGCAAATAAGCTGCTCTAGAAGTTTACAAGTTAAAGATGTACACATGAAACGAAGTGCCCCTCACATGGTGTGGAGATGACCTGAAAATGTTTTACGCATAAGCTATGTATCTCTGAAATCTTAAAATTGGAAGTTACTTTTTTATCTTTGCTCATTATCGGACTGAGAAGTATAGATTTTCCTTTTAATAAAACATATGAACCAGAAGCAATTGAAAGGACCTTGAAATCCTTTGAAATACTCACCGGGTAAAATTTCCCTTACACCGAGCCATCGTCTGGAGTAATAAAAAAAAGCCTAGAAATCATAAATGGCATTGATAAAATTTTCTACTCTCGTTAAAATTAATGCTCGCAGTTAATTTTTAGATCCGACCGACGCTCGGGGAACTCAACTGAAGGTCACTCACAAAAGACGATCAAATTCGATCAACACTCAGGGAAATCATTCAAACTCAATGTTGTTCGCTGGAAGGCCCGCTTGGCCGATCCTGTTCTCACGAGGAAGTCGAGGGGTGGCAAAATGTTGCTGCAAAAATGCCCAGGGAGCAGGTGAGGACCACGAGAGGCTTAATTACATACTTAAGAAAGAGAAATTAAAGGAGGTTTGGAGAAAAGGGGAAAAGGAAAGTTTTCAAAAGGCCGTGGGAGGATTCTATTAAAGGGAGGAACTAGGGTTTGTTTTCTTTAAACATATTTTGTGTGGCTGTTGTTTTCTTTCTTCTTATAGTGTTTTTAGTAACGTCTAGGGTGTGAGAGAGCTGATCTACCTCTCGAAAGTAGATCAACCTTGTATCTTGCTCGTTTTCCTTAGATTTTTGTAAGAGCAGCCCTTGTTTGTGTTTCTTTCACCTATTAATTGTTGTTTCGTCGTGGTTTGTTCGCTAATTTTGGTGTTGAGGCGTATCATTGGCACATGCTCTCTTCCTTGGGCATTGCCCATGGACAATATTGGATTCAACAGTTTTATTTTTCATATGTTGAGATATGATAATGAGTTATTGTCGTTGACTGAAGATGCTATGTTATTCATTAATGATTTTCCTCCCTTTTCTTTGTGATTTCTGCTGTTTGTTGCTTAAAACTTCCACATACTTGGAATTTGTGGAGCGGGACTTCTGTTTAAAACACCAGCACTAAAAAAATCATCTTTTAATCCATCAGTTGAGATTCATCTGCATAGGATGGTTTTTTTTTCCTCATCAAGCTTTTCTTTTGTGCGCCATTGAATTAATCAATTTGTTCGTAGATGTAGAACTGCTAAGGTACAGATTGGTTTACAATTTGCTTGAGCAAACTATAGTGACGTTGAATTGTATACATTTCGATGCTGGCATGTCCTTCTCCTTGTGATGAAATAAATTATTTTGATTATTTTGACATAGGAAATAATTGTAATTGAACAGAAGCTTACTGGTGAAAAAGGGTGAAATCAGTTTTTTGTAGCCTAGATTTGTTAAAAAATTATGAAGTGTAGCTCGATGCAAATTAGAAGGTTCCAACAATTTTGAGAACTACTTACTAATATTAAATCCTTTAGGCATTCTTGGCGTGCCAAATTGGAAGAAAGGTGTGTTGACTTTGACCTATGCAAATCTATTTCATCCAAACTCACCTAGTAATATTTGGTAGCTTATAGTTTTATCAAGAAAAATTGAAGGTATTATTTTGCATGGCATATAGTTGACACCTACGTTGCAAAATTTTCATGTTCATAAATTTATAAACGAAAATAATGCCTTTTTATATGCACGTTACATGGAATTAACTCGAAGTTGATCATTTACAGGTTCGCGATCTTGATTTTGCTATTAAAGTTATTGGTTCGGATATTGTACGAGAGGCTGATGGCCTCGCCATGAGTTCCCGAAATGTGCATTTATCACCTGAACAGAGAGAGAAGGTTCGTCTCGTATTGTCGTTATAGTTCAATTTGGTTATAATTAAATTTGTTCCATGAAAATGCTGATATTTGCACTCCTAAATGTCTATAATTCAATGCTTCAATTTGGGCTCTGTTTCTCAAATGCTTGTTCAAGATTTATGCATAGTTTATATTTTATCTCTTTCTCTTTCAGTTGTGCTTTTCCTTCATTTATGTAGCTTTATTTCTTCAACCTCCTCCCTCTTCACTGTTAGCTCCTTCTATACCGACTTCTGTTATCATTCCTTCATCCTTTCTTCTTAACCATTCTTCCCCATCATTCTAATCCATGTTCCTTGCCCTCCTTTTTTTTAATGAATTGTATATCGTCTTTGGGGTAAGTGCTGGATTGCTTTAAATGGTTTTTGCCTAGGAGGTTTATTTGTAACGGGTCATGCACTTGCTTGTGTTTGATCTTTCCAGGTACTGATAAAAATTGAATAGCTGGTAAACTTCTATCAATTTATGTGTTGTGCTGGTCAATCTTTCATGATTTGAATTCAAATTAGATCCAAGCCATCACCAGGATACTTCAATTATGTAATGTAGGCAATTGAAAAGGGGCTTGATACTTCAATTAGAGGAGCAATGAGTGCCATCCAACAAACCCCAACCCAGGTTTTGTTAACACCTCTCTACGCCCATTGATATTGTTTCCTTGATTTTATTTGAATGCCCACTTTTTTTACCGGTGCCATTGAGATTGAGATCCTCATAAGGAATGGCTTGAGAGATGGAAAGCTCATTGGTGATCATTGTTTGATCCAAATGTGTCTACTGGTGCACCGATATATTAGTAACAAATATGGATTAAGCTATAATGGAAGGCAAAAAAAGAGAGAAGCATTGGAATTTCATTAATGTTGTCAGAATGTGCAAATGAGGGGATATGACTTGATTTCCTAGGCCTAATCTCCAACTTCTTAGTTATAGATTTAGGCCATTGTATAGTCAAGAATACTACATTTGATAACACAAATAAAATTAAACAGCATGTATAATCAAGAATACTACATTTAAGTAGCACAAATAAAATTAAATAGCAAGACTTAGCATGTACTTGTCGTGGAATGAATAAGTTTAGTTTGTTTTTAGCTATTAAAATACATAGATAACTCATGAAAATTTTCAATGGTGAGTTGGGGTGAAGTTGGTGGTGACTTCACTTTGAACTAGACAGTTGATTTGGTTGCTTGGATGCCTTCGTATGGTGTGTAGTCTTGTTGACTCCACTTGATCTCAATGGCCAGTAACAACTATCCCAGATGACTTCAAACGATCTTGTTGTTGAATTAGAGTTTTGCTGAATATCAAGGAATGTGCTAGGTAGCTTTGAAAAATTGAATTCACTTGATATGCTATCATATCTTTTGATGAAATCCCTTTTGTGGCAAATTGATACCATTTAATTGGCTGATTGACTTGCTTTTAATTCAATTTGAGCAATCACTGAGACTTTGCTGACTCGGCCTAGATGACATTGAGTGCGTAAACATGATATCTTTTTCTAGGGATCACAAATCCATGTTTTTCATAAATTGCTAGAATTCAATGAGTTCTACCTATGTGAAAGTTCAGTATCAGTGGAAGGAGAGTCAGAAGATACAGTGGAAGGAGAGTCAGAAGCTGCGCCAAATGACCCCTTATATGCTGCGTTCGACGATTTTGTAATGTCGTGATCCCGTTTGTTTTAAGCGTTCGCTTGGGCGGCAGGCTACCGCGTGTAAGGTATTTCACTATTCCTCCCTGGATCTTTCGCTGCTCCGAGAGGTCTGTGTTTCGCGTTTAGGGTGAGCTTATTACCCCTCAGCCCTTCGATCTCGTCTCCTCTGTCCCTCGATCCCGCTCCTCTGTCGTTGCCCTAACTGTGCGATCAAGCTTTCTCGTCTCCCCTGTTTCTCGATCCCGTTCTTCTGTAGTTCATGGATCGTGAGGTATACTCATCCAAGTTCTATGATTCACAATTTTAGTGTTCCCGTCTCCAGTTAAAGAAATGATTCAAATTTTTTTCCGAGTTCTATGATTCGAATTTTTTTTTACTTTCATACGATCAAGCTTCACAGAGAAAATGATTTTTCATGTTTTTTATGGAGGAAACCTAAAAAAATTATTCAAGAGGGAGCTTGATTACATAACAGATATTTCATGGAGAAATTGATTTTTCATGTTTTTAATGGAGGATTTTCATGCATATATATAGAGGAGCAGAATCTTCCGTTGAACCGACATTTCGACATACTCCCATGCCGACATTGATCGTGTTATGATAATTTCCCAAGAGGACAGTGTCGCTGAGGACAAACGACGTCAGAGTTTTAAATTGAACGTTTTAATATTTTTACTTGTAATTGTAATTGTATTTCTTCTTATTTTATTTGTTTTGATACTCACGAAGTGGTGAACAATGTATTTTAATTTTTGTAACTGAACTATAATAATTTGAGACATATGTTTTATCTATTATTTTCTATAAACAATTCTGTTGCAAATTGCTTAACCAAACAGGGGCAGAATGATCATTTATTCAACAAGAGCTCCCAGTAAGCTGTTCTGAATAAACTGTCTCAAACAACAAACCAACTTATTCTGATTATCTGCAGATTATCAGAATAATCTGCTTATCAGCAGATTATAAATAATTAACAGCTGCCCCAAACAGACCCTTAGAGCTGGATTGTATAAATAAATTATGTGAATGGCATCTATAATTGGATTAAACCTGCACTTGGCTAAGGAACTCAAGGATAGTGGATGACTTGGCCGTACTTACAAATGCTGGTGTTAATAGAAGACAAATAATGTTGTGGTGTGGGAGCAAAGCTAGTCTTTAGAACTAGAGGATGTAATTGAAAATTTCTCCCTTAATATAGCTATTATTTTAAAATCTAACAAATATTCTTATTATTATTGATTGTTTATGAGAAAAATAATTGTGACTTAAGATCAGAAGGGTGAAGGAGAGAGCGTGGATAACTCTTCTTATTCTATAATTTAATCATTAGATGTTAATATTACTACTTATTTTGAGAGTTTTGCTATTTTTAGTATATTAGGATATTAATATGTTACTTTTTAATATATTAAAAAGTCAAAGTGATAATATGTTACTTCTCAGTACATATTTTGAACTTAATGCAATATTTTTATTTTACACAATTTATTAATTTTGAGGCTTATCCCTTGAAATGCTTTGAGGCTTACTCATTGCCATAAAAATAAAAACACCTCAATACTCAATTGAGCAATTTTAAACTTTGTTATTGACATGATATGTATCATTATAAATAGCAATGTCATCTCATTTCATTGTTTGCTATATTACCTTTGTAACGCCCAATTTATTTGTCTGGTAACCTTTTCATTACATTTTGAAGGTTTTCAAATCAAACTCACAATGCAATAGAGAGGCGAAGGAGAGAAAGGAGAGGTCAACTTGCGGGGTATTGCTCGAAGGAAAGTGCTTGATCAAGAACTAGAATTGAGTAGTGTGAGCGACGAACAATGAAGAATTGTGCTCGGGAGTCAATGGTGCTTGTGTGAAGAAAAGGAAGGTGGAGTCGCATGCGGGTAAGGAGCATGGCGAGTGACTCGTGTAACAGAGAAGGGTGGTCCTCTCATGAGAAACAACAAGCCTGGTAGCTTGGTGTGAGGCTGTAGTTGAGCAGCTCTATGCACGAAGAAGAAGGATCAGCTTGGTGCGGGATAGTGCGAACCTAGTTGAACAGTGCAGTGAAGGATAAATTGAGCGTGCTGAGGCCAGAGAGAGGAGGGACCAAGCGTCTTGCATGCAATAAATGGGAAGAGCCTAGTTAAGCCTTTGAGGAGGTGAGGGTATATGTGTTTTATGGTTTTAATTAATAAATTATTTTAATTAAAAGTGTTCTTAAGTTAATATTAAAATTTTATGAATTAATAACGATGATTAGACTTTAGAAGCAATCAAATTAAAAGAGAGAGAGATCTAAATTGGCAACTGTGTAAAAGATGAAGGGGTTAAGTGAGGTTCGGTTAAGGTTTAAATTTTTTTTTTGGAATTTAGAATATTTAATTGAATCATACTAATTATCATTTTACAAATTATTGACAAAAAGTTGGAATAATATATAGATTAGAAAACGAGAAAAGTTGATGACAGTAAAAAAGATTAGGATTTTATTTCTGGAAGTAATTTGTTAAATTAAGGTTATTTAATATTAGTATTAATTTTAATGATTAAACTTACAATTGAAGGATTATAATATTAATAAAAAAGATGTAATAAGATAATAATAATAATAATAGTGATTCATAATTATTGATTTACTAGCATGATTAGTAATGCGATAATAGATTGTTAATATGGACATTTCTTATTTTATAGGTGTTCAGTGGAAGGAATTATAACTTAAAGAGTAAAAAAAATGGAAGACGTTGTGGTGAATAATTATGTTTCTAAATTATAATAATATCTTATTTTAAAATGTATTTCTATTTTCAATTGCTCTATGCAGTGAGATTTAAACTATATTTGATTCTTCGTATTGTTAGGTGTGAGATATGCATGTTAACATTTTTGTATAAATAGGCGCATAGTAATTTTTCCTAGAGAGATCATATTATTCTGTATTTTGTAAATTCTGTTATAAGTGTATTTATTCATTGATAGATAAATATTAAATATTTTATAAAAATTAATACATGATATAAATAATGAAATACAAATACTGTTATATGAATTGGTTGTATGTGCATGATGATAAAAAGAGTTCATCTCTTTATGATATTGGTTGGGGATGCCAATATATCCATGCAGGTAGATTTTTTCCTATTATCTCATATAGTCACAAAATTTAGATCATGAATTGTTGTGCTGACAAGAAAATATCCGCCAAAGGTGACTAAGTATCTTTTCATCTTAGATAATGTTAGAGTTGTTTTGTGTTATGTTGTTCCGACAGAGTATGTATCAGTGTTACGACAATTTAGTCTTTTGTTATTTA